TGAGGACAGCAGTTCGAACAATGTAAATAGTGTAAATAGTTAAATTGGTCTTGAACTCGCAACTCTTTGGGATCACTGGATCTAACCAAACATCCTTGAGGACATCTGTGTATGCATTTTTGAACTTATAGACTTAATGTCTTAGCAATCAATTTTTACCAGTGCTCATCTCAGAAATATAGTCAGATCCTGAAGAAGGCCGGGGCGTACAACGGCCGAAACGTCGTGAATATGACAATAAAGATGGGGAAAACAGTCCAAACAATGTAAATAGTGTAAATAGTTACAATAACTCATTTCAGAAATATAGTCATATCCGGAAGAAGACTGGGGCGTACAACGGCCGAAACGTCGTGAATATGACAATAAAGATGGGGACAACAGTTCAAACAATGTAAATAGTGTAAATAGCTACAATACCTCATCTCAGAAATATAGACAGGTCCTGAAGAAGGCCGGGGCGTACAACGGCCGAACCGTCGTGAATATGATGGGGACAGCAGTTCAAACAATGTAAATAATGTAAATACTTACAATACCTCATCTCAGAAATGTAGACAAATCCTGATGAAGTCAGGAGCTTATAATGGCCGAAACGTTATGAATATGACAATAAAGATAAAGGAAAACAGTCCGAACAATGTAAATAGTGAAAATATTTACAACACATCATCTCATATATATATATATATATATATATATATATATATATATATATATATATGTGTGTGTGTGTGTGTGTATATATGTGTGTGTGTCTGTATAAATATATATATATATATATATATATATATATATATATATATATATATATATATATATATATATATATATATATATATATATATATCAGGTTTATTTTCATATATTTTTTATTCAGCATCTCGAATTTTGCATGCATAAATTCCGTTTCGAGATTACGAAAAATTCAAGAACCACTCTATATGCCTATGCAATATGCAAATTCTTCCTATCTTGAATAATCTAATGTCTCTCGAATCAATCTGAGGCAAGATACATTATCTCATATGCAGAAATAACCAGGAGCAAATTAAAAATATATTCATTAAAAAATTTAAAAAAAATGTAATAATTAACATTCCTTTTGGAAGCATTGAAAAATATGGAAAACATAATTCCTATCTGAATGTTTCACATGAGGACATATAAGGTGTAGGCAAAGTAGTCTAGTGCTCTCTTTTGAAATTTTGAAACTAAATACTGACTTGAAAATCGATGTGCTGCTGGAAACTTTTGCACACCATTATTATCTTATTATAACTGCGTATCGCTCACTTAGCACAGCCGTTACGCCCTGCCATTACCACATAATATTTTGTTAACAATTTTTTCCTGCAAGCAAGACAATGAAGCAACTAATACAAAAGTGTTATCCTCATCTTCATTGCCATATTTACAACGTTTCGACCCTTGTGATGCCCGGCCTTCTTCAGGTGATTGAAATTTTGAACCAAATCTTTTATTTTGTCTACCGGGGTAGATTGTTCTAGTTGCTCGTGCTATGCCTTCAATATCTGTCTATATTTCTGAGATGAGATATTATGATTACTTTCATTATTTCATTATTATTATTATTATTATTATTATTATTATTATGTAGCAGCGTCAGAGAATATGAGGAAAAAACATTAAGGAGTGTGAGCAATAACAGTAATTAAGAATCATTTCGCCCCAAACAAGGTAATAATGCCACTAAGACGCAAGTGAGTTACTGATTGGTAGACAATATATCAGAAAAACGCTATTAAGAAGAGAGAACGATAAAAGGACTGTACATGGAAAACGGAAGATAACGATTGACATTGCATTTAAATTTACGAAGAATAAATTTGACTGGAAAGCAAGAAGCCGGAAGGAAGTTCCACAAGCGAGAAGTGCGATAATGAAATATTAATAAATTAATAAATAACGGACCATTCCGTTTTGATCGTCTGGAAAAACGGAAAATCCATATCAGAGACAGTGAGAAAAAAGAAAGAAAGAAAGAAAGAAAGGAAGGAAGGAAGATGAAAGTGTTTAACGTCTCTTGCCAATACCTCATGAATAATGAACTATTCCGTTTTGAACGCGTGGAAAGACAGAAAAGACATATGAGAGATGCTACTTGGTATCATGGAGAAAATGAACGAAAGAAAGAAAGAAAGAAAGAAAGAAAGAAAGAAAGAATGAAAGAAAGATAGAAAGAAAGAAAGAGGGGGAGATAAAAGTATTTAACGGCTCCTGACACTACCTAACAAATAATTGACTATTCTATTTTGATTGCGTCATAAGGCGTAAAAAATATATAAGAGAAGTTCCTTGATTTCAGTGAGAAAACCAAAGAAATAAAAGAAAGAAAGAAGGGAAGACAGAAATGTTTAACGTCTGTTTCAGTGAAACGGGGAAAAGTTGTCAATTTGTAATATTTATATTTGTACCCCCTTACTTCTTTAAATAATGACCCACATTCACATGTATCATTGACATTGCAAAGTTTTGCTTAAATTGTTAAGCTCAAATGTTTAACGACGTGATAATGGAATTTCCACGAACGTTTTATTGTCTCAGAAAACGCTATGAGCTGATTTAAACATTAACTGAAGAATTAATATTACTCAGAAAGATTCCAACGTACCTTCCGGTCGTCGTGGTGGTACTACGCTGGAATATGCAGACCTGTGATGACCCCAGTCGGGTGTAAAGATCGACGGCTCACTCTTAATTGGTGAACCTAGAGGTGGACAAACATGTGCGTAAATGCGCCCGAGGTGTGCCTGCGTGGGAAAAACCGCATGCATGATGGATATATAGAAACAAACACCCCAGAAGAGAGGCAGTCTCTCACACACCGCAGGCAGAATGTAAGGTCTACGTATTTACTTTGTGCTATTTTAAAGGTACACTGACTTCATTACAATGGGTTTTAACACACTTTAACCAATTATCCCTTTTCGGTGTAACTCATTTTTTTTTCAAACTGTGGGTCCTGACCCGTCAGTGGGTCGTGAGGTAAAAAAAATGGGTCGCGACAAAAAAAAAAAAAAAATATGCCCGTCGGAGCAAAGTGCAGAATATAAACAACTGTAAATATTTTACAGCTCTCATAAATCATCGCTAGTTTTTGACCGAAGTAAGTATTATTAGTGATGCAAGTCTTAGGTACGAATCTATCTCTTCTCGTCCCCAGCTATGGGTTAATTAGTAATACGTGTATGACTAAAATCATTAATAACTAAAAAAAAAAAAAGAACTTCTGACACTCTAAAGAATTTTTTTGGGCTTTAAATATCCGGCAATGGGTTAGTAAACCGTAAAAAACGAACCAATCAATTCATCTGCCGAGATGTAGCATAATTAAGCTACTGTCTTCATCTTTGCTGGTATCGTATTAAGGATTCTGAGGTGGTACCGAACAGTTTTTTTTTTCTTGTTCAAATTAAATTTCTTTCGAAATCCGCATAGCAATGTCGATGAGCCACAAAACTTAATTTATTCTTTCAGTTGCTCTTCATAGCTTAATTTAAGGTGATAAACCTTGTTTTAATAGAAACGATAAGAGACGGCAAATCCAAAACTCTAAGCGAATTAGTTCATAAAGGATTAAGGAAAAGTTAAAGCCTCCGTGTTTTGGAGATGGAACAGATAGCAAAGTAGGTTTTAGCCTTGCCGACCCTAAGGGTGAATGGAAAAGGCGAGAGCTGATCGGGATATGGAGAGAAAGTCTTTGGTTTTGTTTCGAAGAAAGTAAGTCGAGCGAGATACAAAGAAACCAGGCAGTTATCTCAACATATAGATGGAACAGATAGCAAAGTAGGTTTTAGCCTTGCCGACCCTAAGGGTGAATGGAAAAGGCGAGAGATCGATATGGAGAAAAGTCTTTGGTTTTGTTTCGAAGAAAGTATCTCAACATTGAGAAAAAGGCGAAGTCGAGATACAAAGAAACCAGGCAGTTATCTCAACATATAGATGGAACAGATAGCAAAGTAGGTTTTAGCCTTGCCGACCCTAAGGGTGAATGGAAAAGGCGAGAGCTGATCGGGATATGGAGAAAAGTCTTTGGTTTTGTTTCGAAGAAAGTAAGTCGAGCGAGATACAAAGAAACCAGGCAGTTATCTCAACATATAGATGGAACAGATAGCAAAGTCGGTTTTAGCCTTGCCGACCCTAAGGGTGAATGGAAAAGGCGAGAGCTGATCGGGATATGGAGAGAAAGTCTTTGGTTTTGTTTCGAAGAAAGTAAGTCGAGCGAGATACAAAGAAACCAGGCAGTTATCTCAACATATAGATGGAACAGATAGCAAAGTAGGTTTTAGCCTTGCCGACCCTAAGGGTGAATGGAAAAGGCGAGAGCTGATCGGGATATGGAGAGAAAGTCTTTGGTTTTGTTTCGAAGAAAGTAAGTCGAGCGAGATACAAAGAAACCAGGCAGTTATCTCAACATATAGATGGAACAGATAGCAAAGTAGGTTTTAGCCTTGCCGACCCTAAGGGTGAATGGAAAAGGCGAGAGCTGATCGGGATATGGAGAGAAAGTCTTTGGTTTTGTTTCGAAGAAAGTAAGTCGAGCGAGATACAAATATAGAAACCAGGCAGTTATCTCCCTAACATATAGATGGAACAGATAGCAAAACAAAGTCGGTTTTCAACATATAGATGGAACCTTGGTTTTTATTTGCCGACCCTAAGGGTGAATGGAAAAGGCGAGAGCTGATCGGGATATGGAGAGAAAGTCTTTGGTTTTGTTTCGAAGAAAGTAAGTCGAGCGAGATACAAAGAAACCAGGCAGTTATCTCAACATATAGATGGAACAGATAGCAAAGTAGGTTTTAGCCTTGCCGACCCTAAGGGTGAATGGAAAAGGCGAGAGCTGATCGGGATATGGAGAGAAAGTCTTTGGTTTTGTTTCGAAGAAAGTAAGTCGAGCGAGATACAAAGAAACCAGGCAGTTATCTCAACATATAGATGGAACAGATAGCAAAGTAGGTTTTAGCCTTGCCGACCCTAAGGGTGAATGGAAAAAGGCGAGCTGATCGGGATATGGAGAGAAAGTCTTTGGTTTTTGTTTCGAAGAAAGTAAGTCTTGGTTTTGTTTCCCTAAAGAATGAAAAGGCGAGAGCTGAAGGAGAAAGTCGAGCGAGAGATACAAAGAAACCAGGCAGTTATCTCAACATATAGATGGAACAGATAGCAAAGTAGGTTTTAGCCTTGCCGACCCTAAGGGTGAATGGAAAAGGCGAGAGCTGATCGAAAGTATGGAGAGAAAGTCTTTGTTTTGTTTCGAAGAAAGTAAGTCGAGCGAGATACAAAGAAACCAGGCAGTTATCTCAACATATAGATGGAACAGATAGCAAAGTAGGTTTTAGCCTTGCCGACCCTAAGGGTGAATGGAAAAGGCGAGAGCTGATCGGGATATGGAGAAAAAAGTCTTTGGTTTTGTTTCGAAGAAAGTAAGTCGAGCGAGATACAAAGAAACCAGGCAGTTATCTCCTTGCCGACCCTATAATGGAAAAGGCGAGAGCTGATCAGGATGGAAAGAAAGTAAGTAGCAAATATAGATGGAACAGGTTTTTAGCCTTGCCGACCCTAAGGGTGAATGGAAAAGGCGAGAGCTGATCGATATGGAGAAAAGTCTTTGGTTTTGTTTCGAAGAAAGTAAGTCGAGCGAGATACAAAGAAACCAGGCAGTTATCTCAACATATAGATGGAACAGATAGCAAAGTAGGTTTTAGCCTTGCCGACCCTATGGGTGAATGGAAAAGGCGAGAGAGCTGATCGATATGGAGAAAAGTCTTTGGTTTTGTTTCGAAGAAAGTAAGTCGAGCGAGATACAAAGAAACCAGGCAGTTATCTCAACATATAGATGGAACAGATAGCAAAGTAGGTTTTAGCCTTGCCGACCCTAAGGGTGAATGGAAAAGGCGAGAGCTGATCGGATATGGAGAGAAAGTCTTTGGTTTTGTTTCGAAGAAAGTAAGTCGAGCGAGATACAAAGAAACCAGGCAGTTATCTCAACATATAGATGGAACAGATAGCAAAGTAGGTTTTAGCCTTGCCGACCCTAAGGGTGAATGGAAAAGGCGAGAGCTGATCGGGATATGGAGAGAAAGTCTTTGGTTTTGTTTTTGTTTCAGAAAAATGAAGTCGAGCGAGATACAAAGAAACCAGGAAGAAAGTATAGATGTCGAGCGAGATACAAAGAAACCAGGCAGTTATCTCAACATATAGATGGAACAGATAGCAAAGTAGGTTTTAGCCTTGCCGACCCTAAAGGTGAATGGAAAAGGCGAGAGCTGATCGGGATATGGAGAGAAAGTCTTTGGTTTTGTTTCGAAGAAAGTAAGTCGAGCGAGATACAAAGAAACCAGGCAGTTATCTCAACATATAGATGGAACAGAGATAAAAGCAAAGTAGGTTTTAGCCTTGCCGACCCTAAGGTGAAATGGAAAAGAGCTGAGCTGATCGGGATATGGAGAGAAAGTCTTTGGTTTTGTTTCGAAGAAAGTAAGTCGAGCGAGATACAAAGAAACCAGGCAGTTATCTCAACATATAGATGGAACAGATAGCAAAGTAGGTTTTAGCCTTGCCGACCCTAAGGGTGAATGGAAAAGGCGAGAGCTGATCGGGATATGGAGAGAAAGTCTTTGGTTTTGTTTCGAAGAAAGTAAGTCGAGCGAGATACAAAGAAACCAGGCAGTTATCTCAACATATAGATGGAACAGATAGCAAAGTTAAACAATAGATGGAAACAGGGTGAACCAGGCAGTTTTAGCCTTGAACATACCTAAGGGTGAATGGAAAAGAGCGAGAGCTGATCGGGATATGGAGCAAAGAAAGTAAGTCGAGCGAGATACAAAGAAACCAGGCAGTTATCTCAACATATAGATGGAACAGATAGCAAAGTAGGTTTTAGCCTTGCCGACCCTAAGGGTGAATGGAAAAGGCGAGAGCTGATCGGGATATGGAGAGAAAGTCTTTGGTTTTGTTTCGAAGAAAGTAAGTCGAGCGAGATACAAAGAAACCAGGCAGTTATCTCAACATATAGATGGAACAGATAGCAAAGTAGGTTTTAGCCTTGCCGACCCTAAGGGTGAATGGAAAAGGCGAGAGCTGATCGGGATATGGAGAGAAAGTCTTTGGTTTTGTTTCGAAGAAAGTAAGTCGAGCGAGATACAAAGAAACCAGGCAGTTATCTCAACATATAGATGGAACAGATAGCAAAGTAGGTTTTAGCCTTGCCGACCCTAAGGGTGAATGGAAAAGGCGAGAGCTGATCGGGATATGGAGAGAAAGTCTTTGGTTTTTTTAGCCTTACCCTAAGTTTCGGTTTTGTTTCGAAGAAAGTAAGTCGAGCGAGATACAAAGAAACCAGGCAGTTATCTCAACATATAGATGGAACAGATAGCAAAGTAGGTTTTAGCCTTGCCGACCCTAAGGGTGAATGGAAAAGGCGAGAGCTGATCGATATGGAGAGAAAGTCTTTGGTTTTGTTTCGAAGAAAGTAAGTCGAGCGAGATACAAAGAAACCAGGCAGTTATCTCAACATATAGATGGAACAGATAGCAAAGTAGGTTTTAGCCTTGCCGACCCTAAAGGTGAATGGAAAAGGCGAGAGCTGATCGGGATATGGAGAGAAAGTCTTTGGTTTTGTTTCGAAGAAAGTAAGTCGAGCGAGATACAAAGAAACCAGGCAGTTATCTCAACATATAGATGGAAGCAGATAGCAAAGTAGGTTTTAGCCTTGCCGACCCTAAGGGTGAATGGAAAAGGCGAGAGCTGATCGGGATATGGAGAGAAAGTCTTTGGTTTTGTTTCGAAGAAAGTAAGTCGAGCGAGATACAAAGAAACCAGGCAGTTATCTCAACATATAGATGGAACAGATAGCAAAGTAGGTTTTAGCCTTGCCGACCCTAAGGGTGAATGGAAAAGGCGAGAGCTGATCGGGATATGGAGAGAAAGTCTTTGGTTTTGTTTCGAAGAAAGTAAGTCGAGCGAGATACAAAGAAACCAGGCAGTTATCTCAACATATAGATGGAACAGATAGCAAAGTAGGTTTTAGCCTTGCCTATGGTTTTGTTTCGAAGAGCAAGTCGACCCTAAGGGTGAATGGAAAAGGCGAGCTGATCGGGATATGGAGAGAAAGTCTTTGGTTTTGTTTCGAAGAAAGTAAGTCGAGCGAGATACAAAAAGAAACCAGGCAGTTATCTCAACATATAGATGGAACAGATAGCAAAGTAGGTTTTAGCCTTGCCGACCCTAAGGGTGAATGGAAAAGGCGAGAGCTGATCGGGATATGGAGAGAAAGTCTTTGGTTTTGTTTCGAAGAAAGTAAGTCGAGCGAGATACAAAGAAACCAGGCAGTTATCTCAACATATAGATGGAACAGATAGCTGAAGTCTTTGGTTTTAGCCTTGCTGACCCTAAGGGTGAATGGAAAAAGGCGAGAGCTGATCGATATGGAGAAAGTCTTTGGTTTTGTTTCGAAGAAAAGTAAGTCGAGCGAGATACAAAGAAACCAGGCAGTTATCTCAACATATAGATGGAACAGATAGCAAAGTAGGTTTTAGCCTTGCCGACCCTAAGGGTGAATGGAAAAGGCGAGAGCTGATCGGGATATGGAGAAAGTCTTTGGTTTTGTTTCGAAGAAAGTAAGTCGAGCGAGATACAAAAGAAACCAGGCAGTTATCTCAACATATAGATGGAACAGATAGCAAAGTAGGTTTTAGCCTTGCTGACCCTAAGGGTGAATGGAAAAGGCGAGAGCTGATCGGGATATGGAGAGAAAGTCTTTGGTTTTGTTTCGAAGAAAGTAAGTCGAGCGAGATACAAAGAAACCAGGCAGTTATCTCAACATATAGATGGAACAGATAGCAAAGTAGGTTTTAGCCTTGCCGACCTAAAGGTGGTTTGCCGACCCTAAGGGTGAATGGAAAAGGCGAGAGCTGATCGGGATATGGAGAGAAAGTCTTTGGTTTTGTTTCGAAGAAAGTAAGTCGAGCGAGATACAAAGAAACCAGGCAGTTATCTCAACATATAGATGGAACAGATAGCAAAGTAGGTTTTAGCCTTGCCGACCCTAAGGGTGAATGGAAAAGGCGAGAGCTGATCGGGATATGGAGAGAAAGTCTTTGGTTTTGTTTCGAAGAAAGTAAGTCGAGCGAGATACAAAGAAACCAGGCAGTTATCTCAACATATAGATGGAACAGATAGCAAAGTAGGTTTTAGCCTTGCCGACCCTAAGGGTGAATGGAAAAGGCGAGAGCTGATCGGGATATGGAGAAAAGTCTTTGGTTTTGTTTCGAAGAAAGTAAGTCGAGCGAGATACAAAGAAACCAGGCAGTTATCTCAACATATAGATGGAACAGATAGCAAAGTAGGTTTTAGCCTTGCCGACCCTAAGGGTGAATGGAAAAGGCGAGCTGATCGGGATATGGAGAGAAAGTCTTTGGTTTTGTTTCGAAGAAAGTAAGTCGAGCGAGATACAAAGAAACCAGGCAGTTATCTCAACATATAGATGGAACAGATAGCAAAGTAGGTTTTAGCCTTGCCGACCCTAAGGGTGAATGGAAAAGGCGAGAGCTGATCGGGATATGGAGAGAAAGTCTTTGGTTTTGTTTCTGAAGAAAGTAAGTCGAGCGAGATACAAAGAAACCAGGCAGTTATCTCAACATATAGATGGAACAGATAGCAAAGTAGGTTTTAGCCTTGCCGACCCTAAGGGTGAATGGAAAAGGCGAGAGCTGATCGGGATATGGAGAAAAGTCTTTGGTTTTGTTTCGAAGAAAGTAAGTCGAGCGAGATACAAAGAAACCAGGCAGTTATCTCAACATATAGATGGAACAGATAGCAAAGTAGGTTTTAGCCTTGCCGACCCTAAGGGTGAATGGAAAAGGCGAGAGCTGATCGGGATATGGAGAGAAAGTCTTTGGTTTTGTTTCGAAGAAAGTAAGTCGAGCGAGATACAAAGAAACCAGGCAGTTATCTCAACATATAGATGGAACAGATAGCAAAGTAGGTTTTAGCCTTGCCGACCCTAAGGGTGAATGGAAAAGGCGAGAGCTGATCGGGATATGGAGAGAAAGTCTTTGGTTTTGTTTCGAAGAAAGTAAGTCGAGCGAGATACAAAGAAACCAGGCAGTTATCTCAACATATAGATGGAACAGATAGCAAAGTAGGTTTTAGCCTTGCCGACCCTAAGGGTGAATGGAAAAGGCGAGAGCTGATCGGGATATGGAGAGAAAGTCTTTGGTTTTGTTTCGAAGAAAGTAAGTCGAGCGAGATACAAAAGAAACCAGGCAGTTATCTCAACATATAGATGGAACAGATAGCAAAGTAGGTTTTAGCCTTGCCGACCCTAAGGGTGAATGGAAAAGGCGAGAGCTGATCGGGATATGGAGAAAAAGTCTTTGGTTTTGTTTCGAAGAAAGTAAGTCGAGCGAGATACAAAGAAACCAGGCAGTTATCTCAACATATAGATGGAACAGATAGCAAAGTCGGTTTTAGCCTTGCCGACCCTAAGGGTGAATGGAAAAGGCGAGAGCTGATCGGGATATGGAGAGAAAGTCTTTGGTTTTGTTTCGAAGAAAGTAAGTCGAGCGAGATACAAAGAAACCAGGCAGTTATCTCAACATATAGATGGAACAGATATAGCAAAAAGTAGGTTTTAGCCTTGCCGACCCTAAGGGTGAATGGAAAAGGCGAGAGCTGATCGGATATGGAGAGAAAGTCTTTGGTTTTGTTTCGAAGAAAGTAAGTCGAGCGAGATACAAAGAAACCAGGCAGTTATCTCAACATATAGATGGAACAGATAGCAAAGTAGGTTTTAGCCTTGCCGACCCTAAGGGTGAATGGAAAAGGCGAGAGCTGATCGGGATATGGAGAAAGTCTTTGGTTTTGTTTCGAAGAAAGTAAGTCGAGCGAGATACAAAAGAAACCAGGCAGTTATCTCAACATATAGATGGAACAGATAGCAAAAAGTAGGTTTTAGCCTTGCCGACCCCTAAGGGTGAATGGAAAAAGGCGAGAGCTGATCGGGATATGGAGAGAAAGTCTTTGGTTTTGTTTCGAAGAAAGTAAGTCGAGCGAGATACAAAGAAACCAGGCAGTTATCTCAACATATAGATGGAACAGATAGCAAAGTAGGTTTTAAGCCTTGCCGACCCTAAGGGTGAATGGAAAAGGCGAGAGCTGATCAGGATATGGAGAGAAAGTCTTTGGTTTTGTTTCGAAGAAAGTAAGTCGAGCGAGATACAAAGAAACCAGGCAGTTATCTCAACATATAGATGGAACAGATAGCAAAGTCGGTTTTAGCCTTGCCGACCCTAAGGGTGAATGGAAAAAGGCGAGAGCTGATCGGATATGGAGAGAAAGTCTTTGGTTTTGTTTCGAAGAAAGTAAGTCGAGCGAGATACAAAGAAACCAGGCAGTTATCTCAACATATAGATGGAACAGATAGCAAAGTAGGTTTTAGCCTTGCCGACCCTAAGGGTGAATGGAAAAGGCGAGAGCTGATCGGGATATGGAGAGAAAGTCTTTGGTTTTGTTTCGAAGAAAGTAAGTCGAGCGAGATACAAAGAAACCAGGCAGTTATCTCAACATATAGATGGAACAGATAGCAAAGTAGGTTTTAGCCTTGCCGACCCTAAGGGTGAATGGAAAAGGCGAGAGCTGATCGGGATATGGAGAAAAGTCTTTGGTTTTGTTTCGAAGAAAGTAAGTCGAGCGAGATACAAAGAAACCAGGCAGTTATCTCAACATATAGATGGAACAGATAGCAAAGTAGGTTTTAGCCTTGCCGACCCTAAGGGTGAATGGAAAAGGCGAGAGCTGATCGGGATATGGAGAGAAAGTCTTTGGTTTTGTTTCGAAGAAAGTAAGTCGAGCGAGATACAAAGAAACCAGGCAGTTATCTCAACATATAGATGGAACAGATAGCAAAGTAGGTTTTAGCCTTGCCGACCCTAAGGGTGAATGGAAAAGGCGAGAGCTGATCGGGATATGGAGAAAAGTCTTTGGTTTTGTTTCGAAGAAAGTAAGTCGAGCGAGATACAAAGAAACCAGGCAGTTATCTCAACATATAGATGGAACAGATAGCAAAGTCGGTTTAGCCTTGCCGACCCTAAGGGTGAATGGAAAAGGCGAGAGCTGATCGGGATATGGAGAGAAAGTCTTTGGTTTTGTTTCGAAGAAAGTAAGTCGAGCGAGATACAAAGAAACCAGGCAGTTATCTCAACATATAGATGGAACAGATAGCAAAGTAGGTTTTAGCCTTGCCGACCCTAAGGGTGAATGGAAAAGGCGAGAGCTGATCGGGATATGGAGAGAAAGTCTTTGGTTTTGTTTCGAAGAAAGTAAGTCGAGCGAGATACAAAGAAACCAGGCAGTTATCTCAACATATAGATGGAACAGATAGCAAAGTAGGTTTTAGCCTTGCCGACCCTAAGGGTGAATGGAAAAAGGCGAGAGCTGATCGGGATATGGAGAAAGTCTTTGGTTTTGTTTCGAAGAAAGTAAGTCGAGCGAGATACAAAGAAACCAGGCAGTTATCTCAACATATAGATGGAACAGATAGCAAAGTAGGTTTTAGCCTTGCCGACCCTAAGGGTGAATGGAAAAGGCGAGAGCTGATCGGGATATGGAGAGAAAGTCTTTGGTTTTGTTTCGAAGAAAGTAAGTCGAGCGAGATACAAAGAAACCAGGCAGTTATCTCAACATATAGATGGAACAGATAGCAAAAGTAGGTTTTAGCCTTGCCGACCCTAAGGGTGAATGGAAAAGGCGAGAGCTGATCGGATATGGAGAGAAAGTCTTTGGTTTTGTTTCGAAGAAAGTAAGTCGAGCGAGATACAAAAGAAACCAGGCAGTTATCTCAACATATAGATGGAACAGATAGCAAAGTAGGTTTTAGCCTTGCCGACCCTAAGGGTGAATGGAAAAGGCGAGAGCTGATCGGGATATGGAGAAAAGTCTTTGGTTTTGTTTCGAAGAAAGTAAGTCGAGCGAGATACAAAGAAACCAGGCAGTTATCTCAACATATAGATGGAACAGATAGCAAAGTAGGTTTTAGCCTTGCCGACCCTAAGGGTGAATGGAAAAGGCGAGAGCTGATCGGGATATGGAGAGAAAGTCTTTGGTTTTGTTTCGAAGAAAGTAAGTCGAGCGAGATACAAAGAAACCAGGCAGTTATCTCAACATATAGATGGAACAGATAGCAAAGTAGGTTTTAGCCTTGCCGACCCTAAGGGTGAATGGAAAAGGCGAGAGCTGATCGGGATATGGAGAGAAAGTCTTTGGTTTTGTTTCGAAGAAAGTAAGTCGAGCGAGATACAAAGAAACCAGGCAGTTATCTCAACATATAGATGGAACAGATAGCAAAGTAGGTTTTAGCCTTGCCGACCCTAAGGGTGAATGGAAAAAGGCGAGAGCTGATCGGGATATGGAGAGAAAGTCTTTGGTTTTGTTTCGAAGAAAGTAAGTCGAGCGAGATACAAAGAAACCAGGCAGTTATCTCAACATATAGATGGAACAGATAGCAAAGTAGGTTTTAGCCTTGCCGACCCTAAGGGTGAATGGAAAAGGCGAGAGCTGATCGATATATGGAGAGAAAGTCTTTGGTTTTGTTTCTCAAGAAAGTAAGTCGAGCGAGATACAAAAAGAAACCAGGCAGTTATCTCAACATATAGATGGAACAGATAGCAAAGTAGGTTTTAGCCTTGCCGACCCTAAGGGTGAATGGAAAAGGCGAGAGCTGATCGGGATATGGAGAGAAAGTCTTTGGTTTTGTTTCGAAGAAAGTAAGTCGAGCGAGATACAAAGAAACCAGGCAGTTATCTCAACATATAGATGGAACAGATAGCAAAGTAACCAGGCCTTGCCGACCCTAAGGGTGAATGGAAAAGGCGAGAGCTGATCGGGATATGGAGAAAGTCTTTGGTTTTGTTTCGAAGAAAGTAAGTCGAGCGAGATACAAAGAAACCAGGCAGTTATCTCAACATATAGATGGAACAGATAGCAAAAGTAGGTTTTAGCCTTGCCGACCCTAAGGGTGAATGGAAAAGGCGAGAGCTGATCGGGATATGGAGAGAAAGTCTTTGGTTTTGTTTCGAAGAAAGTAAGTCGAGCGAGATACAAAGAAACCAGGCAGTTATCTCAACATATAGATGGAACAGATAGCAAAGTAGGTTTTAGCCTTGCCGACCCTAAGGGTGAATGGAAAAGGCGAGAGCTGATCGGGATATGGAGAGAAAGTCTTTGGTTTTGTTTCGAAGAAAGTAAGTCGAGCGAGATACAAAGAAACCAGGCAGTTATCTCAACATATAGATGGAACAGATAGCAAAGTAGGTTTTAGCCTTGCCGACCCTAAGGGTGAATGGAAAAGGCGAGAGCTGATCGGGATATGGAGAGAAAGTCTTTGGTTTTGTTTCGAAGAAAGTAAGTCGAGCGAGATACAAAGAAACCAGGCAGTTATCTCAACATATAGATGGAACAGATAGCAAAGTAGGTTTTAGCCTTGCCGACCCTAAGGGTGAATGGAAAAGGCGAGAGCTGATCGGGATATGGAGAAAAGTCTTTGGTTTTGTTTCGAAGAAAGTAAGTCGAGCGAGATACAAAAGAAACCAGGCAGTTATCTCAACATATAGATGGAAACGAGATAGCAAAGTCTCAACATATTTAGCCTTGCCGACCCTGGAGAGAAAGTCTTTGGTTTTGTTTTCGAAGAAAATGCAGGGTGAATGGAAAAGGCGACCCCTAGCTGATCGGGATATGGAGAGAAAGTCTTTGGTTTTGTTTCGAAGAAAGTAAGTCGAGCGAGATACAAAGAAAAACCAGGCAGTTATCTCAACATATAGATGGAACAGATAGCAAAGTAGGTTTTAGCCTTGCCGACCCTAAGGGTGAATGGAAAAGGCGAGAGCTGATCGGGATATGGAGAGAAAGTCTTTGGTTTTGTTTCGAAGAAAGTAAGTCGAGCGAGATACAAAGAAACCAGGCAGTTATCTCAACATATAGATGGAACAGATAGCCAAGTAGGTTTTAGCCTTGCCGACCCTAAGGGTGAATGGAAAAGGCGAGAGCTGATCGGGATATGGAGAGAAAGTCTTTGGTTTTGTTTCGAAGAAAGTAAGTCGAGCGAGATACAAAGAAACCAGGCAGTTATCTCAACATATAGATGGAACAGATAGCAAAGTAGGTTTTAGCCTTGCCGACCCTAAGGGTGAATGGAAAAGGCGAGAGCTGATCGATATGGAGAGAAAGTCTTTGGTTTTGTTTCGAAGAAAGTAAGTCGAGCGGCAGTTATCTCAACATATAGATGGAACAGATAGCAAAAGAAACCAGGCAGTTATCTCAACATATAGATGGAACTTTGGTTTTGTTTCGAGATAGCCAAGTAGGTTTTAGCCTTGCCGACCCTAAGGGTGAATGGAAAAGGCGAGAGCTGATCGGGATATGGAGAGAAAGTCTTTGGTTTTGTTTCGAAGAAAGTAAGTCGAGCGAGATACAAAGAAACCAGGCAGTTATCTCAACATATAGATTAGTGTTACCGAGTCTTCTCGAAATATCTGGCCGTAATCCTCTTGCAAGACGTGTCAGTTAAGCAACTCCACACCAAGACGGAAAGACTCAAGCAAATAAATGATAAAATCTGGCATGGATTTCAAGCGCAAATTAGATAGCAGAAATTGCGACAAAATCAAGTGTATACACAAGCGTTTCGCATAAGAGACTACTCATCAGCCTCAAATAAAAAAAATATTGCTTGATGGATGCGCATTCATTTATTACGGCTTATCAACCCTTTGCGCGTTATCTAAAGCCAGAAAAAAAATACGTTTTTTTTTTTTAACATTGTGAGAATTTTGACTATTTTTCTGAGATGAGGTATTACGATTCCTTATTTACATTATTCGGACGGTTATCCTCATCTTCATTGACATATTCACAACGTTTCGACCCTTGTGATGCCCGGCCTTCTTCAGGTGATTGAAATTTCAAACCAAATCTTTTATTTCGTCTACCGGGCTAGATTGTTCTAGTTACTCGTGGTATGCCTTCAATATCTGTCTATATCTCTGAGATGAGATATTAGGATTACTTTCATTATTTCATCATCATTATTATTATTATTATTATTATTATTATTATTATTATTATTATGTAGCAGAAAATGAAAGACGGTTTTCAAACAAATTTACATCAGTTGTCTGTTAAATTTAACAATACATATATATATATATATATATATATATATATATATATATATATATATATATAATTATTTATTTAAAAATATGGTTCCATCGCTACATAAGAGTTCTCATGTTTCAAAACAAGAGCCGAAAACTTCAATATAATTATTTGAATTAAATTGAATTAAAGTACCAAGCTCTGTTCCATCTTCAAGCGAAATTTTTTTGAATAACTAATTACTGATATTTAAGCGTTTTATAAGAATATTCATGATTAAAACTCTTATGTAGCGATGGAATCATATTTTTAAATAAATAATTATATTTATGCTCTACTTTTGTATCGAGCACTATTTTTTTAAATAATAACAAAAATACTAAAGAACTTTGCATTATTTACCTAACGAGTTCTTTCCTATTTTCTATATATGTTTACACACACACACACATACACACACACACACATATATATATATATATATATATATATATATATATATATATATATATCGGGTTTAACAGCAAAAATGTCCAAACGGTCCATCTCACAAAATGTTTAATATCTAAGACAACACAAAACTAATTGAGTTACTTTTTCACAGATTTTCAGATAAGAGGTTTAGCCATTTTCACCCTATTATGTGGTGAGCATCACTGAAAAACCCTTTGAACAGTTTAGCTTGAAAAAAAAAACAGGTTAAAATCGTTTTCTGTCAGCCCCACTGTCTTCCCAACTGAGCAATGGTGAGAGGAAAAAGATCATGGTACCAAAATTCATAATCTGTCTTCTGTGTTCAAAGTTTATTCAAGAACCATCAAGAGAACGGCGAATAAGTTTTAAAAAGAGGGAACAGTATAGGGGGAAAACATGAGGTGAAAACAACAAGATGAAATGCTAAATACATTCTTCTTGTTCAAATAGTGTTATAAAAACCTTGGAGAATTCCAGTAAAGTATCTTTAATCATTTCTAAGATACAACCATTCAAAGCGCTTTGGACAATTTTGCAGTCCCACGACTTGGAAAATACACACACACACACACATACACACACACACACACACACACACACATACATATATATATATATATATATATATATATTTATATATATATATATATATATATTTTGAACAATAAGAAAATAAAAAAGTAAAAAATTAAAATCATTAGACACACTGGGTTGTAGATTAATATTCTTTTGTTTTTTTATTATTATTATTCCATTTAGATTCCTCGACTAGTTTCGACCGAAATGGCCATCATCGGGAGGAGAAATATTTCTGCTTGCTGTTGGCAGTGAATTACAGAAATGAATGTCTTTTGTTGGAGAAAATGAACTTTTGTCTGTAGTTTTCATTTGTTTTTTTATTTTTTATCTTTTTCACATGAATCTTATATATATATATATATATATATATATATATATATATATATATATATATATATATATAATCAATCTAATATGTTTTACTTATATTAAAGCTTCGTCAGAGAAAACAGACAAAAACACTGATATTTTTAATTAAGTTTTGGACAATTCTTATTGGTCAGACAAGTGACACGTGCATTAAAACCGTAAATAACTCTATGTGTACATAAGTTTGTGAAGAAAAAATCATTCATATATATATATATATATATATATATATGAATGAAATATATATATATATATATATAAATATATATATATATATATATATCATTCATTCATATATATAAATATATATCCTTCATCCATATATATATATATATATATATATATATATATATATATATAAATATAATTCATTCATATATATATATATATATATATATATATATATATATATATATATATTCAGGACACCGTTCACCCCATGCAAGGCAGTAAAGCCACTAAGGCATAAGTGTTACATTTTTAAGGGACGAGGACAATGAACGAGACATTAGATATCGATTGACATTGCATTTAAATTTCTGGAGATCAAATCTGGAAAGCACGGAGCCGGAAGAGAGTTACATACGCAAGAAGTGCAAGAAACGATTTTGCTAGGATCGAACTTACCATTAAAGCAAGTGTTAGATAAGAATAAAATGCCGCTGCCGACACTTGAGTTTGAACATAGATCGCCAGAGAGCAAACACAGGCGATCCCATTATTGAATTAAGTAGACCACCTGACCATAGAGGGAACGCACATATGAAGGAAGTAGCTGACGACAAACGATCACTATTTCTAGTCTATCCTCTTTTACTAAACGGGTCACCATTTCTAGTCTATCTTCTATTATTAAACTGGTCATCATTCCTACTCTATCCTCTATTACTAAATGTTTCACCATTTCTAGTATATCCTCAATTATTAAATGGGTCACCATTTCTAGTCTATCCTCTATTACTATAAGGACTCTGGATTTTGTCATTCGGATTGCAATTCCTCTTTTATAAAAGTTTCTTCAAATTCTCAACTCCGAAACCTTTTTTCCAGTGTGCTGGCATGACTTGAAACCAATAGAAAATTTCAGAAAACTCTGGGAATATTTTTGTAAGCAAATCGCCCCAAACAAGGCGTGTGTGCCACTAGCACGCAACGGGTTACAGAGAGTGAGAGTAAGAATAAAAAAAAAGTGTTTGAGAAAAGGATAAAGAGAAGGACAGGGATCAAGGTCAAGGAATCAGAATTGTCGATTGACATTACATTTATATATTTGAAGATTATAGCTATCAGGGAAGCAAGAAGGGAGTTTCACTGGCGGGAGGTGCGAGACATGAAGCTATTGGCGTAGAAGAGACGGCTACATTTGACCAATTCCACAGTGAAATGGTTGGACCGAGATGCCAACCTATTAGAACGCTTAAATTCATGCAGTCTTGGAACCAGAGAAAGTAGCTCGTCGGAGCAGTTGCCATGAAGATATTTGTAGAAAAGACAGAGGGAAGACACAGGACGTCTGTATGATAGCGACTGCAGACGGGATACCAGATCAGGACAAACCATGTTGCATATCCGTCTCTGGATTTTGTCTAGGATCTCGAGATGAACAGCGAGGGCACCAGTCCATATATGGCAGCAGTATTCCATGCAAGGACGAATGGTTGGAGTCATTTGAAGGATGGAGTCAGACGAGAAAAAATACTTCTGGCTCGACACAGAGAACCAGCTTTCCTTGCGGTAGATGTAGCTATAGATTCAATTTAGTTCGTTCAACTTCAGGTCAGTGGACAGCGTAAGACCCAGCAGGCGCAGAGATGTGCTTCCTAATGGTGATAATCTTTTATATTCAAATGTAATGTCAATCAACATCTTCTGACGCCTCGATCCTGATTCCCATTCTTCTATTTATCTTTCTTCAAACACCTCTATTTGATAACACTCCTTAAACTCTTACGTGCTAGTGGCACTCCTGGTTTTCTTGGGATGATTTGCTTTAAAAAAAAAATCTTAATATATACCCGATATAGTGGTATTTTCATATTAACGGAAAACTTAGATCAATTCAAAACCTTGGAGTAACCTTCAAGAGTAACCCGTTTCTACAATCGATTTATGAACTTAACATTAAAAAGAGAATCTTATTTCTTCACGTTCAAGTGGATGATGATAATAATGATGATTTTATCACTTTACTATATAAAAAAAACAAGCAAACATTCGTGTCTTCCGATTGATAAAAGCGAGTGTCCTCACACGTATGAAATAGGCGTCATAAAAAAATAGAGTTAAACGTGCGAAAATGATTCCTTTTCTTTTATAAAGAATTAAGCAATATAAAAACGATAATTTCCCAAACAATGTTGTTGATGAAGAAATAAGATTAGCTTTAAAGAAATTTCGAAAAAATCATATACGCAACAAACTTGATATAAACAAAAATAAAGACGCCATTAAACTGCCTTATAGAAACCAGATGTACCCGAATTATAAAGACGAAAATGCTATTAAAATTATAATTTACCGCTATAAGAAAAAGTTATTTATTCTTACAAGTATACTAGATTTATCATTGATTATTTTTAAAAAATCAAAACGTCCTAATTCTTAGAAATAATTCTACTCCTCAAACATATGTGTCCTTTGAGAGATTTTATATCCAACAATAACAATCAACAAACAACAATAAACGTTTACATTCGTCACATATCGATCACACTATCAAAAATATGTGCCCTTTGAAAGATTTTATATCCAACACTAACAATCAACAAACAACAATAAACGTTTACATTGGTCACATATCCATCACACTATCTCGTAGCACGACTTGTCGCTTTCTCAACATTTAATACAGTTAGCGCATATAGAGATGAACATATGACAAGTAAGGAAAATAATATTTATATGCGATAAATTTTAATAGATATCTTCATAATTTACATTATTCGGACTATTGTCCTCATCCTTGACGCCATATTTTTTACGTTTCGGCCGTTTTACGCCCCAGCCTTCTTCAGGTGATCGGAATGTCGAACTGAACCCTTTA